TAGAGAATGTGAAGAACCTGGAGTTGTTTGCTTAATATTTGTTTATATTTTTAAATTATATGAAGTATATATATCTATGTATGTATACACATATGTATACACACATATGTGCTTGTATATGCAATGTGTGTGTATAATTCAAACTACATAGACATGAAGTCACTAGAGAAATCTATCAATAGCCGTTTGATAGAAATCCTTAAGCCTTTTCTATTGCAATTATGAGAATAAGCATTACACATTCATCATCTACAATCACTTTGAGCACCTATTCTTTTTCTTTTTCTTTTTAAAAATATATATTTTTACTGATTTCAAAGAGAGGAAGGGAGAGGGAGATAGAGACATCAATGATGAGAGAATCATGGATTGACTGCCTCCTGCACGCCCCCTACTGGGGATCCAGCTCACAATCCCAGCATGTGAGCACCTATTCTTTGCAGGCACTGGGGATACAGCATGAACAATTCCCAGTCCCTGACCTCAGACACAGTAGTGGGAGGAACAGACATGTGGACAGAAAATTACAAACACAATTTGATAGCGTGCTTGCAACACTACAGTTCTTATCTCTTTATCATGTATCTGTAAGGCTATTCTTACCGACCAAGTTCTCATCACCTAATTCTTCTCATTTACAACCATCTATTTTGTTGTAAATGTTACATTCAAGACACTCCAAACACACACCATAGCATAATTATACCTTTAAACATAAAAAACCTCTTACAAGCCCTGGCCGGTTTGGCTCAGTGGATAAAGCATCGGACTGTGGACCGAAGGGTCCCAGGTTCAATTCCAGTCAAGGGCACATGCCTGGGTCGCAGGCTCAATCCCCACTAGGGGGCGTGCAGGAGACGGCCGATCCATGATTCTCTCTCATCGATGATGTTTCTGTCTCCTTCCCTCTCCCTTCCTCTCTGAAATCAATAAAAATATTTTTTTAAAATAGTATGTCTATCGTTAAAAAGAAAAAACTCTTACAAGATATACTTTCCAAGGACATTAATCACCCTAAAAATGTTTTGCCTGCATACTTGTACTAAAGTCTAGACTCCTTTAATTCTCTGTTCAGTATTTCTTATTCCTTCAACATTCAAATTTCCTCATAGAAACCATAGTTGGGGTGGTTTTTATTCTTTGCTACTTATGATAAATCAAATATAAGAAGTGGTACTGTCCCACTGGCTCTGGAAAGGTCTGCTTTGTAGGACATATTTATTCCACCACTGCCAGAGACGAGATTTACTTCACATTCCCTCCTAGTAGATAACCTCACTGCCCTCCACATTTTGAAATACTGATCATTCTTGTCTTGGCACCTCCAAGTGAGTCCCCTAAGGAAGGTCACTCTGTAGCCCAAACTGCACAGGCCATATTTCAACTGCAGTCAGAGGAAGGACAGTTCAATTCCACAAGCCTTTACTCGGTGTTCACTGTGTGCCAGGCATTAGACACTGTGCTCTGGGGACGCAGCTGGAGGAAGACACAGGCAGAAAGCATCCTGTTTGGGGTTTGGGGGTTTTGTTTTTTTGTTTTTGCCCCTCTCTGGGGCACTTACAGCTCATTCATTCAGTAGGCCCATCCATGTGCCAACCTCTCCACTGGGAACAAAGTGATGAGTCACTGTTCCTACCATCACAGACCCAGCAGACTAGTGGAAGAAACAGACACATAAATGGTAAGTTATGACAAGGAACCAAAAGAGAAAATTTGATTCATTCTGGAAGGGTATGGAGGCTGAAACTGCACTAGGAAATCGCATGGTCTTTCTGAACTCATTATATCCAAATTAAACATGAATTCAGCATGGT